AATACGACAAAACGTACAAGGAGTGTAGAAACCTTATACTAAAATGTGTGCAGTCAAAAACATATGACGAAACTGAATTTCTAATGGAACGCATTTCATAATTCACTGTTCTTTACGATATATAACATAATAATACTTTCTATACACACATACACGCATTCACACGCACGTGCTCACACACACACACACACACACACACACACGCACACACGCACACACATACACTTGCGTACATGCACACATACTTTAGTACTTTTTGTAATTTTTGGTTGTAAATATAGAATAAATTAGTTTTTGTCATTTTTTGTATGTTAAAATAGAGTAATTGGTTTGTCATTTTTGGTTTTTAGAATTAAAATGTATGTTTAGATAAGGAAGAGCGGGGTTTCCAAACACAAGCATTACTTGCTTAAATGGAGACCCCAATCAACTATGTAATTAATTTAATTTTTGTGAAGAAAAATAAATTATTTTATTTTATTTATTTTATTTAATGGAGTAATGCGAAGTTTCTTTTAGAGAAGATTGCTTTCATAAAACAAACACAGAATACCAGCGTAAAATAGCAGCCTAACACTGCTGTGTTTCGTATGGTGAGTGTAGATAACCGGAGACCCTTTTTACTGGGAAAGAGGCATTCCATCTTAGTCCTCACGGGTGACAACGCATCTGCATTTTGATTCTTTATTGAAGATAGATGTAGATGTGTATGGGTCACAGCAACCACTTACCATCAGGTAGATCGTGTGCTCGTTTGTCAGCCTATCCTATAAAAAAACATATTAATTGGGTTTATAAGGGAAATGTCAGACAGACCTCTACTATTTTATTCCCTCTTACATTTATTACAGCTTCTCAAAGCCCATAGTCATAACATAGGCTTCCATAGATTGCTTCATAGGGGGGATTTTAGTTAGTTTTTGCACTTAGCAGGCGTGTTGACAACTGTAGTTTTTATAATTTTTGTTGGTATTAAAAACATGTTGCTGCATCTATTTCAGTTTCCCTCTGTCCTTACGACAGATACGGAATGCTATGAGGTAATGGAATTTCTACGATCTTCACATAGTTTATATTACCAATTAATTTATTATTTAGGTTAAGAGTCATAGTAGCTCAGGGGCTAAAAATTGCTCGGTGTAAATTTTAGAGTACGTGAGCAACCCGAATTTGATATTTCAATTTTTATAATGCACAGAGTACGACACTTGATGGCGACTTAAGGGAAACAAACCCCAATTCATCACATAGGTATTGTTAGAGGTAACTGTGTAATAAAAATCACAAAAACAAGTGACCTTCTCTTAAATGAAAATAACACATAGCTGATGTGAGGAATCAATGCTCCGGGAAGTCTCTAGTCAGATGTAATAGACCACAAGCCCTCGTTAAAGAACACAGATTCCTTCCAAGGATAATTTGCAAGGCTATTGAGATAAAAAAACATACTATTTCAAAAAAGAATGTAGCTGGGTGCTACCATCCTATAATCAATAAAATTTTATCCCAACCTACGCATACAACCGTAAAACTTCAAGATACTACATATAAGGTCATTCTGCGTAGATCGGATCAAAAAATTATTTAAAATTATAAACTGAAGGTAACCGTGGTTTATTATGACATTGGGACATTGAACACCCAAATAGTATAGTAAGTATATACAGTGCATACTTCAGCCCCCCCCCCCCCCACTTTAAACAGCTTTTTGAAAAGCAATGGTTATAATACGAGTTGTTGAATTATACAAAAACCTTAAACATAAATAGTTTATGCATATCCTTGCAACAACAATGCAAAATTTTAAGGCCGATATTTTTTTATCGCAGAACATGTTTAATTTTGATACAATAAATTTCTGAGTAGAAGTGTTTAGATTTTGGCTAATTTGCATAAATTTTAATTAAATAAATAAAACAGAATTAAAGGTATACTTGACAGACCGAAACGTTTTGGTACGTTTGATGCCTTCGCAATTATTAAAGTTTCCTTCATTGTTTCACTGATCTAGTTCGTTTCCATGACGAAGTATGATACATTTTTATGTTATGAAATTATTATATTGCTTATTGACTGCCTCTATTGGTCTAGTGGTCGTAGGCCTATTGATCCCGGGATCACACATCCCGGGTTCGAAAAGGATTTTTCTTCAATAACATTCTCAGTAGCAGACTGGAGAGAGAAAGTTGGCGATACTTAACACCCGTTCCTCAGGAAGCACGTAACCACCACCAGAAAGCACCTTTGCGTATGAAATGCCGTACCATCATAGTATGAAAGTGAAAGAGTGCACCTGTGCGCAAGCACATACGTGCACTATAATCCTGTCCTAAGCAGATGGCAAATCTCCGTTGAGACTGGCTGCCGTGACTGAAATTCCGACCAACAGTAAGAAACATATAACCTAACTGAAAAGTGTTGCATTGGTAACACACGATAATCATAAATTAATATCAAGTAAAATATCTTAAAAAATATTTCTGCAATGTTTAGCGATGTCAAAGTATTATTATACGAAGGAACATCTCATTTGTATATTTGAAATTCATAATATTAAATCATAGTTAAAACAGAAAATAGACCGAGTTTTAAGATACTAGGTACTTATAGTAGCAAATTCAAATTAGTTATTAATTATTATAGTAAGTGGTGTCATGTATCAATTACCCAATTACTTTCGAGAAGAAGTGACTTAGTCACTAGAAGATAAGTACGAGTACAACACATGTGGCATTCTAGATCGCATATGAACGGACGCAAGTATGATTAAAATAATTATTTTTCACGTAATCCGGAAACCGTGCGCCAGAAAACTGCCTGTCATGCTGAAATGTCTTACTGATTTACCACAATGTACAATTATGGATTAAAAACTTCATTTAACCTCTATATACATATTTCTATAGGTGTGATATAAAAGTGGAGAAAAGTGTTATTAGAACCGGAGACCCCTTTTACTGAAAACGAGGCATTCCATCTTAGTCTTAGCATTTTGATCCTTAATTAAGGATAGATGTAGATGTCAATGGACAACAGCATTTTTCTCTTCTCATTTTCAACCTTATTCTATAAAAGAAATTACGGGACGACTATATCATTGTTAATTGCCATATTATTTGCATTTTTTTGGTACATTTTCACTTCCCACAATAGAGTAAAGAGCCCTATTTATTCTGTGTCCTGCATTCACTCTTCGTTTTATATCTTTGTCAAATCTACCATCATTGCTGAACACTCATCCTATATGTGTATATAATACATCTACTTCCTAAATCAACTCCTCATTGTTCATTAAAGTGACCATCATTTGCAACTCGCCCATCGACGCTGCCAATATACACATCAACATAATCTCAGGAATTGCTTAATCCTAAATTATTTACGACTTTATAATTTAAAATCTTTTTAGTTTCCATAAACAAGTTATATACAGATTGAAACCTCTTTTATTCTATTTTCTAATTTTAGAAATATAAATAAAAAGAAAAAACAAAAGAAAAAAACAAAATACGGCGGAAAAATTGTTAGTAATTCGTTACGTCAAGTAAAATTAAAATCATTCTACTGATATCAATTAATGAAAAGGGATTAGATTGTTTTTTTTATTAATTTAACGTGCGGTATGAGCTTTAAGAGTCATGTTACGTTACGTCGTATTTTGAGTCGAGATGAAATGTTACGAGCCGTGGGCATATTAGAAAATGCTGCTATTCAACGCTACATCGTTGAGAATAGAGTACGTTACGCATCGTTGCTGAGACCCTACACACCAGCCAAAACGTAATAGCAAGGTGTAAGATCTGGCTGAACGGCACACAGGTAGATATCGTGTTACTACGCCAAGACTGGATCGATTTCTCCAAATGACCGCCAGAAGACAACCCAATATCACAATGATGCTACTACTATAAAGGCTCCAGAAGGACCACTATCTGCTGGTAAGCGACCAAACTGTGCGATGGAGGTTGAATGAAGTTGGTCTTTATGCTCGAAGACTGCGACGTGGGAATCGCAGTCGGCGGTTTTCGTGGGCTCGGGAGCATTTACCATGAGTGACGAACGTCTTTGGTGTTGTTCACCGATGAGTTCCAGTTTGGATTTCATTTGGATTCACGTAGAACACGCGTTTGGAGAACTCCAGGGAGAGTTAGTCGCCTACGGCACCCTCAGGAGGTCCACTCATAACAAGGCGGGACAATCATGATGTGGGCAGGAATTCGTCTTGGCGGAAGAACCCAGCTCGTTGGGGTCCAAGGCAGCATGATTGCACAAAAATACCAGGAGGAAGTAGTAGAGCTTGTTATTGTCCCACACAGAATCCAAATGGGCCAGGAATTTCTAATCATGCACGATAATACTCCTTCCATTACGCGCGGCTGTTGTTGGCCGCTCTCCGAGACCACGATACTCAAGTTTTGGATTGGCCTGTACATTCGCCCGACTTAAATCCTATCGAGCATGCCTGGGACGTTACAACCAAAAGCTTTGAGAGATTTCTCGCCAAATTTGACGATGGAACAATAACTTTACGAACACTTGCAAAGAACATGGGACCTCATACCGCAGCAAAATATGAACAATTTAATTTTAAGTATGAACAATCGATGTCGATGTGTAATTAATGTAAGAGGTGGCAACACTGATTATTAGTAATTAGACTTTATACGATTTTTTCAATTTAATTGATATAATGGTTTCATAAGAAGAAATGAAGTTTTTTTTATCATACTGATTTTCTACGGCGAATAAAAAAATTAACATTTTTATTTAAAACAAAAAAAAATCGAAATGTTTTTTTTATTTTTTATTAAAGACCTTACAATAACCTATTATTCTTCAATTTACTATATCAGAAAATTCTTCATAGATTTTTAGATATTTGATGAAATATAAAATATCCTTAGATTCTGTTGACGTGTTTATGACTTATACATTGATCGTACAAGAGGCTTTTCTTAAACTTTCAAAGTTGCTAAATAACTGTCTATAAAATTACTTACTTGATTATTATTGTAATCGAGTTTTAGTTCTTTTTGATGGTAAGGGTCAATAGCAGGCACCCCTAAATCTTTGATACCATTTGCCATGGCATCAAGACCTTTGCTGACTGCTTCGATCAAACAGTCATTGACTTCAGGTGAATTTCTGTCACACACGGGGATGTATTTACCTAAAACAAAAACGGTTGCTTTATAGAAAATGGCTTGTAGTACGATTTATTTTAAATAAAGAACAATTTGACGTGGTTACCCAAAAAGGTTTTCAACCCACAAAAAGCTATTTTAGAGATTTTGAAATTTGAAGAATGACTTGATTCAATTTTGTTTTAAAATATTTTTTTGCATACGTAATACATATCTCATTTTTGACCCAAACTGTGAGTTGATGACTAGTTTTTGCTTAACTACGTCTATTTACATAATAAACAAAAACCCCGGCAATTACATTTTTTGTTTTAGTATTTGTTATCCAAGTAAGCAACATCCTGTTCCTTACACGTAAATTATGTATTAAGACAAAAAGAGTATCATTATTATCTAATTTAAGGATGTTTCTATGAGACTTCTGGTAAACTTAAAATGTTAAATTATTCGTCTGCTATAGCCCTTAATAGCTGGACTTGATGGTAACTTGGCAAGAAATCTGTTCTCACTTGCGTAATGCAATCGGCAATTCACCTGCCAAGCGTGTTATTACTGTAAAATACGTCTTACAACGGGAGAGGCTCATGTCCGGCACAGGACTGCTATTGGTTAATGACGCTTTTTGACTTTGACTGTGCGTGGGATTCTTTTTACGTAATTGCGTCCAAATATGTACATATGTATTAAATGCTTAGATTTGTGAAATATACGTTTTCAATACATAATTACTATCAGTATATCCTTGGTAATACAAGGTTAAAGAATTTATTTTCGACGAAATAAAACCATTCACTTACTAGAGGAAAATCAGATTACTTGTCAAAAATAAAATAAAATACAATACGAGTGTGGGCAGACTTAATTTGACAAAAGTGTTGAGGATGTACAATAAAACATGTATGAAGAATATAAGAGCTTTCATCAAGCGCGAGGGAGCTGGATATGAGTTATAGCTTAAAAATAAAGATTACCTACCAGCCTATCAAATACAGTATTGACCTAGGAGCCTAGGCCTCCCCATAAGAAAAAGTTTAGTGATAATCAAGACACTTGGCAAGCAGGCTGTTCAGTCAGTTACTCAGGGTATATTGTTGATTATAACCTGTAAAAATTTGGACAAAGGTTATTCCACTGTCAATCAATCAAGATAGTGGAAAAGAATTATAGTTCTTTCCTCTAATTAGAAAGGGCTGGGATATGGTGACAGCCTGCCGGCATCAATGAGATTTTAACTTGCTGTACTTACGGTGAAGGAAAACATCGTGGGGAAACTAGGATGTCTGAGAAATAGAATATTTCAAGGAAACGTGAAGTCCACCACTAATTACAGGAGCAGCGCGGCGGGTTAACATCTAAATAACCCTCTTAGAAATAACAGGAGGACTTTGCCCAAGAGTGTAACATTTACAACTTATGTAGCTTAATATTTATTTATAAAAGTATTAAAATAAAGTTTTGTTTATTTTTAGATACAAATAACTGAAATAAGTGACAATCATTATAAATAAATACGAATAGACATATCTATATTTTATTATTAAACCATTTAGCGTTTAGTTGTTAATTTACGATGATATCATAGGAGATCGTAATTTTTCCTCAGGTAGTTTCAAGTACCATCTTAATTACGAGATATATCCAGTATGTAATTACAGCAGGGCGAAACAAAAAAAAAAATCCCCGGCTTCTGTACATTCTACTTAAAAAAAGAGGTTATCAGCTCGACCGTATTTTATTTTAAATGTATGTTTTTAAAATGTTTATTTACTTGTTAAAGGAAAAAAATAAAACTAAAATCCCACTTGGCGGTAAGTGGTGATGAAACGAAACCCTACATGGTAAATCGAACTGTCTTAACGTAGCAAAAGAATAATTATTCTTGATTTGAGGACGCCTAGAATGTAATTGGATTGGACGGAAAGACACACGCAGGCAGACTATTCCACTCCTTTGCTGTATACATTACAAAAGACGAATCAAACCTATTGTACAAATAAGTTCGCTCACTCTCCGAAATACTTCCTATAGGATACCGATAGGTTGGTTACTCTACGTCTGTGGTCGAGGCTGTCAAGATTGGTTTCAACCAAATCAAGTTTGCCAATAAGCCTCTTGACGCGTCTTTTCAATGAAATCAACGCTGCTAGGTGGCATTTTGCTACACCAGCCCATACGAGTATATGTGTCAGCAGTACTCTATACACGACCGAACTTGCGCTTTATATAAGGTAAGAAACTGCCCTCGCGTGAAGTATCGCCGCACCCTTGCAACCTTGCTCCTACTTTTCTAGACGCTGTTTTGTTCCTAGCATTAATGTATGACAAAGTTAATAAAATGGTTTGGAGAAATCACAACCCCTAACAAGGAAGGAAGGAAGAAAGGCGGTCAGTGTAGCAAGGGTAAACGAGCTCCTTTTAGCAGTAAAGAGACACGCTTGTATTTTGGAGCCGTTAAATCTTAGAAGATTGGCGTCGCCTCATTCGGAGACTGCCTGCAGTGAGAGATTTATACGCTAAACCATAGATTTTCTTTCGAACTGGATTTGATCCTGACTGACGTGACGTCTCAGAAAATCCTTTACCTAGTCAATCAGGACAGGGAATAAGCCGGCACAGAAGAAACTTACTTGTACTTTTCAGCATAAATGTATGGTTAACCATGGTCAAACCTGATCAGTATGTGTATGTCAGCAAAAAGGATGAATATTCCAATGTTTGACGTGTTACTTCGGTAATAGATAGCAGCAATTTACATCGAATAGAGACTACATTTAATGACGTACCTAGCATAATTTCAATTAGTCACAAACTCATAAAACTGCCAAAATTGAATTTATTTTATGGCAGGGAATGAGGAAAGAGTAACAAAAAGAGACGGCAGAGTTGGCAATTGACGCCCTAGACGAAAGTTTATCGACCAAATTGGCAATATATTGAAAATGGACCAGATTAAGAGTAAGAGGCGAGAGAGGTGTGTCAGGATCGTGCCAAATGGTAATCCGTAGTCTCGGCCTGCCCCTCTGGGTGACAGGCGTGAATGTTTATGTGTGTGTGATGTTGGCCCTAATGAGGATGTACCAGTGAATTGGTATTAGCATTATTAGATCATGTGTTATAATCCCAGTTGAAACTAATGTTTGTGCAACATACAAATGACTGATTCAGGGCCTGTAGGTACTTGGACTGCTGGTCGTATGAGGAAGTTCAGAGTTACTCAGCGAGCTATGGGGAGGAAGAGGATAAAATCCGTAACACGTACATATATCTATAGAAGGACAAAAAAACTGATATAGGCGAACGGATCAGTAGACCGAAGTGACCATGAGTTGACTATATAGCGGACAACCAGTGGGAAATATACATATATACATTCCATTATAACCAATTTATATCTGTTATTTAATTTGTAAAAGGTATCAACCTCAGAAAAATTTTCTATTGGTCTTAAAATTAGCTGTGTAATTATAATTATAGTTGAAAAAATATTGTCAAACCTTTTTTCCAAAGTGTGGCTATTTTGTTTTGAATTTTATTTTCCTGTTATTTTGAAATATACTTAGTATTAGTTATACACGATAATATATGCATAATAATTAACGCGAGAATATCTATGTTATAAATAAAGCTATAATTTTAATCGACATCGTCCTCAGCCTTTTTAAGTAGCGGACATAGTTCTTTGCTTTGTTTACAAACATGTATAAAATCAAAGCTTCTCTCCGAAAACGCGCCAGATTGTGTGCATTTAGAAAAAGGTATGCAGTCACCTAGCTACCAAGATGGGTATGTTAGCATAAGACCGATACTCGCAATGCTGCACCCCATCATAAGTCTGCGGTATTTGAATAGTGGATGGATATTCCGCCATCATCAGAGGCCCTTAGGCAGTAGAGTTCATCCTGTAAACGCAAATGTTTCCCCCAAATTTTCCTTTTTTATTATCCAGTAGCAGTCTACTCCTGAACATGGGTCTCTTCCACACAAGGAAGGATTTACCATAATGGCACCCTTGACCGAGTTTCCATTTTCTTGCCGGCCAAGGTATTTTATATCACCAAAATTTTTGGTATATGATTAATATCTAAATGAGAAAAAAATTATTTTACGTCTTATTTCTAAATGAACAACTTATTAAAATTTAAAAATAACTCACCAATATCAATTGCTCCATAACAATTTTTAAACACAATTACGAATAAACATACTCCAAATACATTCGTTGTAAACATTGTACGTTTTGTAATAAAAACTTATATTATTGAGGAAAGAGGCGACTGTAGCGTCACAGCCTCTGATGCCAATTGCATGAGACGCCGCACGTTCAGACAGCAAGAGGCGTGGGTCGTCAACGGATCTGAGATTGCATAAACACAAGTCGCTTTCAATGTCACCCACTAGTTGAAATACGGAATAGTTACGTTTTTTATCTCAACATTTTTTTAAATATAAACATTTTTTCCAACCTCAGCAGAGCATTACTTATGACTTTTTAAACCATCTATTTAAAAACAGATTTTGATAAACGCGGTGTATTTACATAGAAAATTTATAGTGTTATCGAAAGTGGTACTAACGCTTTTGATTTCTATTCTCTATTCATTTCCACTCATATTTATTTTATTAATGATTGACACAACATTAAGGAGCTATTGTTACAAATAAAATATTATAAACCTAGATGTTTAAAAAATATAAATTAATTTATCATTGTATGATTTTTTCCCATTAGAATTCCAGTTTATGGAAATTTATTTAGAACATTTTTTAAAGTTCAAGTACAAACTTAATATCAATAATTTATTAATTTTTATGTATGTACTCAAGTAAATTATGGCGTACAGGAGTTAAATAAGACAATGTTTAAATTTCACAAGTTTAAAAAGCATGGAAAGTTTATTTATTTCGGTAATCTAGTCCAGTAACTTTATACATCACAGCATGCGTCATATTCGGTAGTTCTAATTTTTTTGCAGACTTGTTTATGATGTTGGCCCAATGAATAATTCAAGTTTGTGATCTCGAGCGTCGAACGCAACTTTGTCAAAAATCGAAAAAACTGCGATAAAATATTTTTTTTTTTTAGATTTTGGCGATTATAACCCTAAAGGTCTAGTTTTTGAAAAAAACTTTCTTAGTACGTTTTTAAAGTAGACTAAATTTGCTACAATGTGATACTAGATTTATCTCTGTAGTAGAGATGTTACGGAGGTTCGATTCCGATTCCGAAAGTTCGAAACTTCCGATTGATTTTGCACCTTCCATTCCGATTTCGGTTCCGTTAAATTTTAATCGGAAGTTATATATCGGAGGCGCGATCAGCGTGTACAAAGTACAAACAAATTTATACTTGTCGTCCCGGAAACCTCTCTCCACCCGTGCCTTCTGTGGATTATTCTTTAACTTGATGTTTTGTTTCGTATTTGGCAATTGACATGTTGTGCGTTTGCGCTTCATTTATACATATCCAAGTTTTTGATTAGTTTTAGTGATGTTTTATTTTAATGTAACAAACTTATTTGAACAATGAAGCCAAAATCAAGTGCCATTTAGAAATATTTCAATGAAGTTTCTGGGAACAGGGCAAAGTGTGAACTATGTGAGAAGATATATTCACGAAGGGGAGGTACGACTACTTCATTTAAAGTCTGTGCATGCCACTGAATTCAAAGAATTCAAAAATGTTGAAACTGAAAAGAAAAATACAGTGCAATAGACCTGCCCTTAACACATCTCTTCTGCCTCCACCTCTGTGTGCCTAGTGCGAGATGTTTTTTTTACGCACTCTATCCCGAGAAAGTTAACTACAATTTGTATGGAATAAAATCAGCGCCAAATAGTGGCAATAATCGGAATCACCATCGAGCTATGATTCGTCAGTGAGAACGTTAACGCACGTGATTGGTTGGAGCGGCAATTTCGATCATTCGAGACGTAAAACTTTACGCGGTCGATATCGAAAAAGTATTCATCTAAATTTTTATAGTGAGATAGAAAAGTGAGAATAATTGATGAAGAGTTAATTTTATTTCGTTTTGTGAGAACGATATATAATTTAGGCAGGACGTTATTTTTTTCGTTAGGAGAATGTTTGCAGCCACAAAGGCATTAATAACTAATAATAATTGATGACTACTATTATAAAGCCAGTGTTGAAGCAAGAGCTTGTGCATATTTTAGTCCGTTATTACACCCCAATGACAGGTAATTTAAGGATAGATATCGCCTTTTCTAAGAAAGTATTCAAGTTTTTTAATTTTTTTTTTATAAATCCAGTTTGATAAATTCAAGTTCCTACCATCACTATTTAATAATTAAGTCAGTAGTAAGTATCATAAGTTCACTTAACACTAAGTAACTAAATTCCATTTACTGCTCCATAAATGTCACCATAAAATCATTTAGAATGAAAACATCTTCATGTTTTTTGCTTTCAATTTAATACTTTCAATAATTAACATAAGGCTAATTCTCAATCTCATAAAACTAACACAAACTGTCGAAACCTTGATCAAATTACGAAACATAAACAAATAGCTAATAATGAATTGTGATTCCGATTATTGCCACTAGTTGGCGCTGATTTTATTCTATACAAATCGTAGTTAACGTTCTCGATATCGAATGCGTAAAAACAAAATCTAGTGCCAGATTTTGTTTTTACGCATTCGATTCCGGTTCCGATTTCGGTTCCTGTTCCGACAAACAAAATTTAAAAACTCCGCTTCCGAATTCGGTTCCGATATAACCACTTCCGTAACATCCCTACTCTGTAGACCCAATAGTCTCCGAGATTAAGCTTATTAAAGTTTATGATTTTTTTCGAATTTCGAAATTTTATGCAATTCTGTCGTTCTGAATGAGTTTCGACCCTGATTATACTCTCGAAGCCCTGTACTTTTATGATGAGATGTTAAAAAAGATAATGAGAAGTGTAAACGATGCTGTTTATCCTAAGCTACTAATAATGAAGTAAAAATGATAAGTAAAACAACAGTTAATAAGTTTATTTGTTAGGAAATTGAGTAATATTCAAAATCAAAAAATTTAATTAATTTAACCCTCTTAGAAGGTCCCGGTTGAGGTTCGTCCGTATCTGGATCGACGTATTGGGATGGCAAATCCCCATCAGGGGATGGTGATGAATCGTCGACGTCTTGTGCCCACAAGTCATCCTCCATTTCGATATCGGACAGATCGTCGCCTTCTGGGATATCTAAGTAGGTAAGCAGCAGTAACGGTAGAAAATATATGGACTACTGAAACGTTGGTGCGAGAAGATCCAGGAATCACATATACGGACATCGAAAAGATTGTAGGCATTAGTTCGGGTAGCCTTCATACCATCCTACATCAACATCTTGGAGTGAGGAAGATTTGTTGTCGATGGATCCCTCGTTTTTCTCTCCGAAAGCGAAAAGCAGACTCGTGTGGATTGGTGCCAAGAAATGCGTCTACGTTTTGAAAACGGGGCATCTAGGCGTGTTTCAGAAATCGTTACTGGTGACGAGACATGGATCTATCAATACGATCCGGAAAATAAAATGCAATCATCGGTATGGGTCTACTCAGAAGGACAGTTACCGACTGCAAAGACCTCGCAACGTCGGCAAAAGAATGGTGGATAGTTTTTTTTTTGTGGAGCGGACATTTGTCGACGTCAATGCTGGAAAATTGTAGTTAAGTTAACTCTGAATCGTATACTACAGTTGCATTACCCAAAGCTTTTCAAGGTGTGCGGGAGAGAAGACCAAAAACCCTTCGTGCAGCCGCAAGAAATCATCCGCAAGAGGTGTTGTGAGACTGCATCTCTAATCATTATTTTGAGGCTGGGGGTTGAGGCCTTGTGGCGTGGATATCCACCCCAAGAACAGAGGGTTCAGTGTGACTCCCAACCACGCTTGTACCTTACACGAGCAATACTAGCACACTGCGTTGGAGGTAATTGGAACTTCATCCCAATAGAGTTGTTTGAGTGACGTCTAAAATATTGCAAAATATGTGAAGTTCGAAAAAAATGATAAACTTTGAAAGGCTTAATCTCGGAAACTATTGAGTTTACAGAGACAGTTCTAGTATCACATTGTAGCAAAATTAGTCTACTTTAAAAACGTCCTAAAAAGTTTTTTCAAAAACTAGTCCTTTAGGGTTATAATCGCCAAAATTTTAAAACAAAACAATTTCTTCGCTTTTTTCGATTTTTGACAAAGTTGCGTTCGGTGCTCGAGGTCACAAACTTGGATTATTCATTAAGCCAACATCATAAACAAGTCTGCAAAAAATCAGAACTAAGGGATTTGACGCATACTACCCCATACTTTCAGGCCACCAAGTTACTGGATCAATCGGTTTGATTTGTCATCTAGATCGTTCGAGTTTAGAGTTCAAGGTCTCGATTCTTACCATATTTTTAGAGATGGTTAGTCACTAGTTCTATCTATAGGAAGTAAACGCTAAGATAAAGGCTGTTTAAGAAATTTAATACATTAAAATTATAATTTGCCACAAAATATACTAAGACTTAGAAATATTGCGAATATTATACTGATTCACAACAGGGTCGGTTTAACTAAAAAGTCAGCAAAGCGGGCAACTGTCAATGGTTAAATGATCAATGTAACCCAACTACGGTTAGGGCCTTTAATAGCCTGTAACGGTACGGTGCGTTATTTATTTAATTAGTATTGAATTATTCGTGTAGTGGCGGAATGAGAGAATCCACTACTCCATATCATCCCGTGGCCGTCGTAAGAGGCGAAATGAAACAGAAGATGGGCAGGCAGCAGGATTTTCTTGACAACGAATCAAAATAATTAAAAAACTTAGGATGCTAACCCGCCTGCCAAGCATGGCAATGAATACAAATGTCCCTCCATCCCATGAGGCAATCTATGGGCGAGTTCTATGTACAGCAGTGGGCTGTAATGAATGGACGACTGAATAAAACTAGAGTTTGTGCGAGGGGAGGTAAATACGTTCACGGAATGAAGGTCGAGAATTTTTGTATAAGATTATACGAAAATTCTGTATGTAGCTCTTCAAGACAGCGTTGTCGCCTTTATGGAAAAACAAGGCCACCGTACTTCTGCTTTACGCCTCCGGAGTATTGCCACCATGGGGGACGGAATTAAAGAGCTTTTGAAGGACTTAAGTACGTGTTTTCTACCCGCTTTCAGAAGCTCCGATATAATTCCATCCTCGCCTGGGCTATTGCTGTTTTTAAGATACTGGA